TTCTCTTGAAAAAAATGTGTTTAAATGGTTGTTTAAAAACTTTCCCTAAATTCTTCCCTTGGACCATAAGCAGTCTGGTGATAACTAGATTAGAGACTAGAAACCAGTGGAAAAGACCAAACTCTGTTAAAATGTAAAATGTCCTTTGGTGCCTTCTTTCCAGACTTAGCATTTGAGATAGCTACATGAGCATAATACAATAAAAATATCATGCAGAAACCAGAACTCTGGTGACTTTTTTTTTTTGTCTGTGTGGCACTATGGAGAAGCACTCGTAAAAGGAAGGTTGAGTGGTTTATCTCTACAAACTTTCTTTTTCTCTCTATTTCCTGTAATAGCTAGAAGTCATTTTCAGAAATACTAGCAAGAACCACAAGTAAGTTTTGAATAATTTTCTTAGAGGAGGATATACTGATTACAAAGATACAGTACTTAGAACATAATCAGCAAATACCATGTGTGCTCACATGTCTTCTAAATAACTGAGATAAGTGTTTCATTTGGAAGTTCTGTTCCTTATCATTTATTAATCCTATCAATGGTTAACCTAGAAATTTCTGAGAATCGATTCTCAATCAATAACTTGAACAGGTCCAAATGCTGTTATTTCAAGTTTTTTCACTATGCTCAGGAATTAGATTCATTTATTTATTCATTATTTTATTTTAGCTTCTGGAAGCTATGTGAAGAGTACCCCAGGCCTATCTCAGGGGCCTACCAGTTGTCTCCGCTTTTCTATTTCAGGCTACGATAGACTAAATAAGACTAAGGGAAGAACTAGATTTCTGCACGTGTAGGGATTAAAGTGGTTTGTGAGACAGAGAGGCAAGGAATTTCTGGTAGCTTTTGTCCCAGGAAATGATTTTAGAACTTCCGTTACATCCACTACATGTGTACTGTTATTCTTAAAGGCAGTAGGAACTCAAAAGATGAATCTTACATGATTCCACAGTAAAGGATTTATAACAGTTTTTGTGTGTGTGGGGGGGGAGTCCAGAATAGCTAAAATGGAAGTTTCAGAATTTTGAGAGCTGTAAAGAGGGGAAAATTTGCTTTCAAGACAACAGACTGAACGAATCAGGAAAGGATACAAACTCCCAGAGAAGTACAGCTGAGCTATTTCTTTTTTATTTTTTTCCATTAAGTTTATTTGTACATTTTAGGTATATAGTACAGTTAAGTTGAGATATTTCTCGATGAATGAAGATTTAAACTCACAAAAAAGGAGGAGAGGACATTTAGAGAAAATACTAACAGAAGCACAGCTCTTCAGGGAACATAGGAAAAATATGAATCTGTAATGATATCTGTCTATGTATTTTCAAAGATTATCTTCTGAGTAGAAAGAAGTTTCATATTAATTATGGTGACTCTGTGTAGTTTGCCAGCATCAGTTCAGACTTTACTATTTATTTATCTGAGCCTCTTTTGATCATAGTTAGCAGTAAAACAAATTGTTTTTGCAAATCACAAGCAGGCACCTGTTTCTCAATTTTTGCATCATGACAGAGGGTCAGCTTCACTAATTTCTTTATTGTTTTTGTCAGTGTTGATATTAGTAGCATTAAGTTTTAGCCAGTAAAAATTAGAATCATTTATATCAAATAGAAAAGAGAGTTTAGTTAAACTGATATGATTATAATTTGGTGTTATCATTGAAAAAGTCACAAAATTTTGACTTTGTATTTTATGTCTGATTTTATATCTGATATTTTATTTGTGTGTTCTCTGTTTTAGATCTATAGACATTTTTTGTTATTATTTCTTATGTTATTTATAGTGTTACCTTGGACTTCCTTCATCCCTCTCCCCAAATATGATAATTATTGGTAGATGTTGCTCTAATCATCATTCTAAGGCTTGATTTTATGTGATTTCATAACGTCCATTCTTTGCACTTATATCGGATCAAGGCTAGACAGTAGCCAGTTGTATGCTGATTTCTTCTCAGTTTGTCTTCTTTGTTAATATTTTTGCTCTAATATTTGGGGTTTTTCTTTTATCTTCCTGTAATGTCATTTTCCCTGAAATAACCTACTTGTGAATAGGCTAAAACACTCTTTTATAAGACCCCATGAATAGCACAAACATTGTTTTAAGGTTGGTGAAATATGTGTTGGTAGAAAGTACATTTTGTTCCCCATGTTACTTCCTCTGAGCCTGCTTCTGATTTAAATTAGCAGCTATGGTTGTTTCTATAAATACCACTACCCTACCTCATGTGCCTATCAGATCTGTAGCTTTCATATTTTAGGGGTTTTTTGCAAGCATAGGACCATTTATCCAGAAGCAGCTTACTATATAATTGTGGGAAAGTTAATGGCTTTGGGAAACACCCTTCACTACACACATGCGCATATATTTATTCTCTGGTGGATAGAACTTAGCTTGTTGCCAGCATTTTGCTATTATTAGCTATGCTGCTCTTATACACGTCTTTTGCATCTGTAAGTGGGACATGGCATGCTCAGATCTGGAATTAGTGGGTGGCAGGGAATGTAATTACAATTCACAAGTTGTTTTCCAAAGTGGTAGTGCCAATTTATGCTCCTATCAATAGTGACTTAAGATTCCTCTATGATTTGTATTGTGGCCAAAAATGGTATTTTCAGATTTATATGTTTATGCCAATATGGTAGGTGCCAAAGATATAAAACTGTATTTCTAATTTACATTTTTCTACAGAAAATGGTTGCTAATGAGTCTCTTTTCTTATTGTTATGAGACATTCATGTTTCTCAACTATGAAATGCTTCTTTGCTTTCTTTCTTGTAATTTTTTGGGCACATTTTTCTCCTGAATCTTTTTTCTTGATAAGAGTTTTCTGTATCTGCGTACCAATCTTTATCTTTTGCCTTATATTTGTAACAACATCTTCTCACAGATAGTAGTACTGTTTTGTTTTGCTTATGTGTCTTTCGATGAACAGGAATGCTTAATTACATTATAGCGGAACCATATTAATGACTATTTCTGTATACTGCTTAAAAAATTCTTCCCTATATTGAGGGCATAAGTAAATTTCCTCTGAGACCTTTATAGTTTGTCCTTCACATTTGTATTTTTCTTCCTTCAGTAATGGTTTTGGGGTGTAGTAGAAGATAGAGGCTTGATTCCAGTTTTCTTTCACATGAATAATCAGTGTTAGAATAAGCACCACTCTGCTTTTCAATTTATTGCTAAATATTCCAATTAGAAGCAAACATTGAGGAAGAAGAAGGAATGTTTAAATAGTTTGGTGAATAAAATAAGATCCTGTAGGAAGTTATCTGCCTTTTTCTTTGGAGGAAAATAAGGCACATACTGACATTCTCTTCGAAGGGGCTGAGAAGAGTGACCTCCACTGGAGAAACAAACATGTTTCAATGGGTAGAAGAAGAGAAAGAAAAGAAAAAAGAAAAGTAAACAAAAGAAGAAAGAAAAGGAGCGTTTAGTTAGGGTAAACACAGTAAGATGTACCCTAAATTTGAGTCATTTGTGAGAAGCATGAATATGGAATGAGAAAACGTGTATCTTTTTAAATATCTGTACAGTTTAAAGAAGACCTTTAGCTGTTGCCTACTTGCACGATCTTGTCAAACGAGCCTGTAGACAGACAGAGGAGAGGACATTCCAAAAGACGACGCTGAGCTGGGAGTAGACGGTGGTTGCAGTTCAGGTTGGATTTGTGAGGGTGGCAGACTCCTAACGAAATAAAAATAACAAAGGCGCATAATTTTTTTAATCTAATTTCAGCAGTGGAGACTTTTGGGGCTGTTTTTATTTGTTAGAAGCACTGAAATGTGAACTTCTAGAATGTGATACAAAAAAATGAGGTCTGAAAATTGTATTCTTTATGCCTATGCCAAGACAGAAGGTTAAGCCTAAAGATAATTACTTCTATCACATTCCTAGCATGAGTGGATTTCTTCTTTTAAAGCTTATCAGTTTACTTCAGTGTGGAAAACATAAGCAATAAAATATTTCTTTTTTGATAAACAAGTTGAACTTTCTCACCTCCTGTTGGCATGAACAGTTTTGTTTAGCTCCTGACAGATAATAGTTTGAGGATAGCATAAAAGAGGAACCAAACAATGCACATGTTTGGCTACACTAGACTTCCTTTATAGTTGATAAAATGTTAAAAAAAATTCACACGCTATGATCCATACGTTTATGACTTGAGGTTCTATAAATTTATTTTCTCTTGTGGAAAAAAAACAATAGCTATAATAATTTGTCTTAGAGTTGGAATTCTCATTCTTCTACAAAGATATTCCATCTACTATGTAGGCTGTAATACTTGGCTGTCAGGAAATTATTTCTCAGACTATCTTCAAAAGCAACTCTTTTTTTTTATAGATACACATCAACAGCTTGGAACCCTGAAGTAGAGCTTTTTTCTTATAACAAAATTATTCCTTCAGAAGCTAGTGAGTCAATTTCTTACATGGGTGGAGTTCAAATTATTTCTTAATTTTTTTGTATCCCTAAAACTTGACTTTATTTAACATTGCTGTTATATTGTGGGATAGACCAAAAACTACAAAATAAGGAAAGATGTTCATGGTTGAATAAATAATAGGAGAGAAAAGGAAATGTTACGGGTAAGAATTTATTTTAAATAAAAATTGTTATGAGTATTGAAGAAGAATTTAAAGTGGTTTTAAGTCTATATTTAAAATTTTATTATCACAAATTAAAACATCTCCCCAGCTTTGTTGAAGTGTGATATTATATATATTATATTATAAATTCATTCACTTTTAAATGAACAATTTGATGAGTTTTGACCAATGTTTACATCCATGTAGTCACCATCACTGAGATATAGCAGGTAGCTAGCATTCCAGAAGATTTCCATACCCTTCCCTTCCAGTCTGTCCTGCTGTCTGATAGCAGAAAACCCATGATCTTTCTGTCACGATAGCTTAGCCTTTTTTAGAGCTTCAAATGAATGTAAAAGTATACACTCTTCTATCTGAACTCTATCATGTACCACATTTTTGATATTTACTCAGGGGCTGAATTTATCAGAAGCTATTGCTCGTATTCCGTTGTGTGGATACCATAAGCTGATTGCCCATTCACCTGTTGCTGGACGATACATTGTCCTGGTTTGGAACTATTGTAAGTAAATCACTATATGTTGCATGAGCAATGCTTTATCTCAGTCTGTTTTTATTGCTGTTGGGTAAATGCCTAAGAACAGAATTGCTGAGTTAGATGGTAAGTATATGTTTAATTGGATGAGAAAATGCCAAGCTGTCTACCAATGATGTACACGAATTCCAGTCACTCAGCAGTCTTATTGACACTTAATATTGTCAGTTTTTAAATATTTTAACCATCCTAGTAGATTTTTGTTTGTATCTTGTGTTTTTAACTTGCATTTTGCTAATAACTAGGATATTGATTATCTTTTTATTTATTTACTTATCTCTCATCTTCATTTTTGGTATTAAAATCTTTGCCTAAACTTCATTGAATCTTTTGTATGCCATTAATTTGTTTGTTTGTTTGTTTGTTTGTTTTGGTAGACTCTGGAAAGCACTGGATACTTCCTGACTATTCTGTAAGGGCTTATGGTTTGGATCATTGCTTCCTAGAGACCCATTCGTGTGTTACAGGCTTGGTCTCCTACCCACCCTGCATTTGATGGGAACAGAACCTTTGAGTTAAGGGGTCTAGTTGGAAGGGTGCTGATTATACTGAGGCATGGCTGTGAGGCGCATGGGTGGACCCTGGCCCTTATTCTCTCATGGCCTCCTGGTGCCACGAGCTGAACAGTTTCCTCTGCCAGATGCTTTTGACATGGTGCGTGCCCTTACTCTGTTGTAGTCACAGTACACATTCAATTTCTGCTGTTTTCAGCAGATTCACCGTGTGACCTATTTTGATACATGCTCCATCCGTATTTAACAAAAATGTGTGTTCTACAATTTTGGGGTGTAGTGTAGTTTTTATGTCAATAAAGTACAATTTTTAATGGTACTGTTTAAACCCTCCACACTTTGACTCTTATTCTGTCTCCTCATTTTATCAGCTCCTATAGAAGGAGTAGTAAAATAGTCCAGTACATTTGTAGATTTGTCTGTTTCTATTTTCAGTTCTATTGGTTTTGACTCAAGTACCCTAAAGTTCCTTAATAAGTGTATATCTATTTAGAATGCTTTGTTGTCTTAGACTGAACTAATTTATCATTGTAAAATATTCCTCTGTATCAGTAGTAGAATTCCTTGTTCCTTGTTCCTTGAGCTTTCATATGCTTCATATTTTATGCTATATATTTACACCTTTTTATTTTAAACTATTTATATCTTTATATTTAAAATGGGTTTCTTTGTGTAATGTAAGCAGGTGAATCTTGTCTGTTTTCAGGAAGACAATTTTGCCTTGTATCAGTGTGCTTAAAACATTTATACTTACTGTAATTACCAGTCTGTTTTAATTTTAACTCTATCATCATGTTATTTATTGTCTATTTGATCCATTTTTCATGGTTCATCTTCTGTGTTTTTGGTTTTTTCAACTAAGTGATTTCTAGTGTTTTATCTTTTCCTCTATCATTGGCTTATTAGCTATATGATTACATTGTTAAGTGTTATATTAGGGTTTATAACATCTAACTTTCACTTGTCACACTCAACCTTCAAATCTAATGCCACTTCATTTATGCACAAATCTTACAGCAGTATATTTTATTCTCTCTTGCACTTTCAGTTATTATTACATTTTTTGTTTCTAAACAAACATGTCAAAATCCCCATAATACATGTCAAACAATCAATCATCTTTTAAAGAAACAAAATAATAAAAATGTCTTTTATATTTACCTACATATTTAACATTTTGCACACTCTATTCTCACGAGTAAATACAGGTTTTCTTTTAACACTTCATACCAGTGTTCTTAACAACAAATGTTTCCGCTCTCATTGATTTAAAAAGACTCCATTTCTCTTTAAATTAAAAAACACTTTATCAAGGTATAATTGTCACATGAAAAGCTGTACCTATTTAATCTATGCCAAGCTCAGTGAATTTGAGAACAAGTATGCATCTGGGAAACCATCATCACAATCAATACATGAATAGCTCCCTCACCATCCAAAGCTTCCTTTTATTATCTTTATCTTCATTAGTACTTTGTTGTAGCAATACTTCGGTAAGATCTGCCCTATTAGCAAATTTTTAAGTATGTAATACAATGCAATTATAGGCACCATGCTTTATAGTATAAGACCTCTGCATCACACATAGTTGAAATTTTGGGCCCTTTGACCAATAGCTCTCAGTTTCTCCATTTTGTTGTTGCTAACAACAAGTGTTCTACTCTTTCCTTATGCGACTTTGACTGTTTTAAATTTCGCATATAAGTGAGACCATGAAGTGATTGTCCTTTTGTATTTGCATTATTTTACTTAGTGCAATGTCCTCAAGGTTAATCGATGTTGCTACAAATGTCAGAATTGCCTTCCTTTTAAAAACTGGATAATACTTTATTGTAGGTACGTATTGCATTTTCATTAACCATTTGTCTATTTATGGACATGTAGGTCGCTTCCCTGACTTGGTTATTGTAAACAACGCTGGAATGAGCATAGAAATGCAAAAAATCTTTTGAGATCCTGATTTCAATTTCCTTACAATATATACTCTGAAGTAGGATTACTGAATATTAATATGGTAGTTTTACATTTAATTTGTTGATGAAGATCTGTATTGTCTGCCATAATGACTATTTAATTTTCCTGGCAACCAACAATGCCTAAAAATTCTCTTTACATACTTCTCAGGATTTTTTTTTTTTTTTGTAATAGCCATTCTAGCTGGTATGAGGTAATATCTCATTATGGTTTAGATTTTAATTTCCCTGATGATTACTAATGTTGAGTAATTTTCCAAAAACTTGTTGACCATGTATTTGGAAATGCTTAGTCAGTTCCTTTACTGTTTTTTAATTGGATTATTTTTTGTTTCATTTTATTTTGTTATTAAATTATTTAAAGTACAGGGTTCCAATTATGTAACAAAGACCTCATAAGGCAAACATCTTTGTAAATACCACTTTTCCTTTCGGGGAAATCACATAGAAGCAGTTATAACACACATGTACATTGCATATCCTACATGCTTAGATAGAAACATGGCTTTTAAAAAATTTGGTTGATCAGAAACTACTAGCTTCTTGAAAAAATATTAAGGCTTTCAGATATTCCATTATATTTCAGTCTCTTGTAGTTACCAGTGATAAAACTCAGCTCAGCTAATTTGAGCAAAGTGAGGAATTCATTGCATTATAGTATCAATTCATGGCAATTACAGGGCTGGAATTAAACTTAGAGATGAAGAGACTCACCGACTTTACTCAGTCAAGTTAATTATTCCCACAGACTCTTGTTTCTGCGTCTTTCTACATATCAGATTCATTTTACTATTCCAGATGAACTTTCTTCATAGTTGGGAACATGACTACACCGTTCTGGATTTAAAAGCTTTCCATTTACATGATTCAAGAAGCAAAAAGGAAATCCAAACCGTGCCAGTTAGAATCTACTAAGATGGATGTCTTCTGATACAGCTTGAGGCACATATCTGGTGTTAGAAGAATCAGTGTGTCCCCCAGGCAAAGGATAAAAAGTTCAGGATGTATCATGGGCTCACACAATTTTTGGCTAGGAAAGTGGTCACTAATGGTGGTCTCCACTCAAAACTCTGGGATGAAGTGATGGAGAAATTTTACAAAAGAAAGGAGTATTGTGATTACAATAATGTAAAGAAAGGCAGAGTTCTTGTTTAACAACATAACTTCTGGACATTATGCGATGCAAACATTTCTAGACACTAAGGTTTGGGTGGGTTTCTCTTGCTTAAAAATTAAGGTTTAAGACCAATTAGTTGCTTGATTGAACTGTTATTCATTTTCTGTTTAGACTTAGAGATTAAGCTATATCACCTATATAAGATGTGAAATTAGAAGCACTTCTAATTTTATAGACAAACCCTACTATTACCATAGAGTTACAAAATCTGGTTCAGTTTGTCAATAAACAGATATTTGGGGCAAAGACTACTTCAGTTACAATAATCACATTTCAGCTAACTCACAAGTCATTATGTACCTCATAAACTACTCATTTCTAGAAATAATTCTCAACTCAGTGTCACATATTTGCATTCTTAAAATACTACCAGATCTTACCATGCCCTGAGAGGGTTTTGTTCCTCAAAAAACTCCTATTACCCAAAGTATGCCAAGCTGTAGGGCAAAGGATATATGACTTGGAAGACTGAACTCTCACTTTTAAATCTTTTTAAATTCATGTTAGGTTGTGTAATAATACAAGAAAAGAAAGAGGCTGCATATGTTGTCAAACTTAATTGCAGAAGTTGCATAGAATTAGCCAATTAAATAACAAGTGGATTCTGACTTATATTAGGTGAATGTCAGAATTCATCAGTGTGAATGTTATTTGACAGGGGTGATAAATCTTGTTCTCTAGGGTTCATATTTTTCAATACCCTTGTGCATCCTAGGGCATTTCAAAATAATATACTGAGAGGGTTGGATTAGGAAAGTCTGATTTACTGATACTGATACCCTGAGGATGGCCACTCTAATTAGCACATATGTGGGCTATAAAGAGCTTAAGTGGGATTCACACAAAATGGAAGGAGATGAAGACAGCAGCATGTGATTTTGTGCATAAATACACTGAATATAGAATGAAATGCTGGAGAATGAAACCCACATTAGGAGGGCTTTTGATAATGACAAAAAATGGTAGCACCTATTTGCAGGTTTGCTGTTCACTTCAAAACCCCAACAAAGTAAATTTCAACTTGTCAGTATAAACATTTTGCAGTAAATCATTGATGTGGAAAAAAACAGTGCAAAAAGTGAATATACAGAGCTATTTTTTGCTCATGGATCCACTGATCAGTTTTAAGTTATGCTTTACATCCATTTAAGATATTACTTTCTTGGGGTCAGGGATTTAGCTCAGTGGTTCAGTGGCCTACCTTGCAAGCTCAAGGACCCGAGTTCAATCCCCGGTACAAAAAAAAAAAAAAAAAAAAAAAA